AGAAATGCAAAGTCCTATCTGATATTTTTGGCCATTTTGAGTTACTAAGACCATGACGCCAGCAACCAAATTTTCCTTATTTTCTATCAAAATTGTAAGATTATTCGGAGTCGTTTTCAAGACATTCAGAATATTGCATTCTAAAAAGCTTGACACCTTGTGAAACTAAAATTTTACCGTCAAATGTCTTTCTCAAAAGTTGGGACTGAGCATATCAAACTTTGTAATTCTAGAGTAGTGATTTGTCGGTCCTGTTTGCGATAAGAAAATAATAAGTGTTACTATCTTGGTAAAAAATAAATCCTTTATTATTATTTTATTTTCTGATCTTCAAAATCAAGCAAGAAAAATAATGGTCCGCGAGTCATATGGTTAATTTTGGTACCCTGGTACTACTTTTTCGGTTGTAAGTAGATTTTGTTAAGTTTATGATAAAGAATGTTATCACCTGCGGGCAGCATACAGGCTAGCGGCGGACGCACAAAAATCAAGTTGTCTGACTTTTTCTTTCTTACTTTCTTTTTTTTTTGGTGGCGGCCAGCCGGCGGGACAGTCTGCCATGATTGAGGCCCATTGAAAATAACAGTTTTTGTTTCTAAGCTTATTAAAAACTACCCATTATCATAAAAAATATAAAATTCGGAGCCAGCGGAACGAAATTTCAAACAAGACTCGCGACTGACTTTTTTTTTTCTTGCTGAATTTTGAAGATCACAAAAAATGAAGTACATGGTGATAAAAAACAACAACAACAACTGTACAACTTTTTAATGAATATCTCGTGCAAAAATTGTTATAAAAGTGTGTAATTTGGAACATGCATAATTCAATCAAAAGGAATTTGTTCGACATCAAATCCACAAAGAAGAAACTTGTTTTGAAAACGAAAACGATTTACAGAAAAAAGCACTGAAAAACGCAAAGTTCACCAATTTTTTTAAATCTTGTGAAGGAAGTCGTGAAAAGATTCGTTGTTTTTTTTTTCTCTTTGACTCTTAATTTTCCATCCCTGTGACATTCAAGCAATATTTAATTTCTTTTACAGAGTTTAAAAAACCTAATGATTTCATTTTGAAATTCCTAGAAGCAGTAGTCTACATGCCCTCCTTTGGATTCGACACATTTTTTTAAACACGTCGTTCGAAATGTTCAATGGCGCCTAAACACAAGGACCTTCTAAACCATGAGGGTTTAAAGCCACGCACACTGTATGTTCAGTATGAAGTGGCTTCTAGAGACAATAGAGTGGGGTGCCCAAAAGACAGCATTTTTGGAGTTAACATATCCCGCAGGATGAAAATGGGCTTTGCACTAAACCAAATGTCATCGAGGAAATCAAGACCATCAAGGAACCATGAACACATTGCCATGCTGTGATCCTTGTCATCTCGACCTTACGAAGACGGAAATGGTACTTTTGTAGGTTAAGATCTGCCATGAGACTGTTGAGGTGTAAGAAAGTCCAAGCTGCTGGTCGTCTACGGACAGACGTCTCATAAGACTCGACTATTGAAATCTGTACCCTGGTGACGTTTAAAGGGCTGTGCATGGTGCGTGTTCAATCTGAAGTGGTCATTTTTAAAGGAAATTTTTAGTTCTGATTCGCTATAGATCCAAACTGACGGAACTTCTCTACTCATGACGCCAAAGGTCTTGAGGAGACCTAAGCATTCTCATCATGCCGTGCGCAGAACTTAGGAAAGGTCAGAGATGGTGAGTTTGAGGAGAGGTAATGTTCAAAGCAAAATCCCCTCTGCTCTTTACTAAACGTAACCATGATGTCAGCAGGCAAACGAAATTTGGGGAAAATAATATCCACAGACTTCTGTAGACTTGTTAGACTACTGTATCTTGCAATATGGCACGATTGTTGCAACTTTAAGTAGTAGGCCCAATGCGAACTGGTGCGTCATGCTATGAAAATGGCGACAATGTTGAAAATGGGTTGTTTTTTTAATGCGCCATATAGAGCAAAACATTACAATGGACTGATCTAAAATGGATATGAGAAAAATTCCTTTTGGCTTCCAAATGTTATGTTCAAATCTGAAACGCAAAACTTCAGTATGGAGAAAGATATTTGCAAAACAAGTAGTACAGTTGTTTTGGGTTGCTTTTTGGCTCACCCTGCTTTCATCGTGTATTATTTTCTTATCGCAAAGAGGACTGGCAACGGCGAAGACAGCTAACGGTCAGTTTTAATGGAACGTATAATACTCCCTTGAGAAATTCGTCAACATTCATAGACGTGCCGCCCCAACTGTGTACAACACAGCACAATGGTACAGTTGTCAGCTACACGTCTGCGGACACTTGTGCGTCCCTGTGCCCAAGTGGAAAGTGGACTCGGTCACGGCGGCATGTCAAGCAATGTCAAGTGACCATGGCTTCTGGACACTGTGGTCACTGACGTGTCCTTGAGTGAGGAAATCCCAGTGTGACCTCAGCTGAAAAACAGGGCACTGTACTGAGGCGACTAGCTGACAATCGTGTGTTTGTTTGTTTGAGTGCGTTGTTCTGTGTGTCCTCGTGTGTGTGTGTGTGTGTGTGTGTGTGTGTGTGTGTGTGTGTGTGTGTGTGTGTGTGTGTGTGTGTGTGTGTGTGTGTGTGTGTGTGTGTCACGCCATTTGTTAGAATCTGATTTGTATTTGCTGCCAACTGGGTTGTACTTTTTAGTAACAGCAAGAAAGAGTAGAATTTGGAAAAAAATTATGTATTATGGCTAAATTTCGACGATATGAAAATTTACAGTGATAATAACATAGTTCCATTTTGTTTCCGGCTACCTGCAGTCGGGAAATTCTCTGATAATTAAGAGTGTCAGGTCTTTTTGTCAGTCATGAATAATTATATAAGACTAAAGAGCGAAAATATGTACAGCTAGACTGGGATATTAAGCAACGGAACGTTTTGTCTCACAGGCATTTCCTCCCCAAAAAATATATTCATAACTTACACTCATTGTCTTTTACCCAGTGCACATTGTTGATTGAATCTTTTTTATTCAGCCGGCCCCTGCCTGGTTTACCTTCATAGAGGGGCGAAAGCTACCATTTCATACGATACGACCCTTAAAGCCTTTTTATGGAAAAAGCTCTATATAAATTTACACTGTATATCTAAAGGCGAAAATGGAAAATCATGACCAATGTCATCATCATACGTACTCTCGAGTTGAAAGTCTTTGTTTTGTGAAAAAATTTATCGTTTATTCAACTATAATGTACATGTTTTTGTGTCCAGGACGCCTCTATCTTCAGTCTGTCGTGTCTGACCTTTGCCCTCTGTGTGGAGAAATGGAATCTGCACAGGCGTATTGCATTGAACACGATGTTGTTGATGGGCTCCAGCCCTAAATGGTGAGAAGAAAACATTACCCTTTACCAGTGCTGGCCAAATTATATATATACTAGCGAGCAAACGAAACGCAAAAAACTATTTTGACCATAGCTAAATAACCATTAATGGTAGAAGACTAAAGTTTACACCATTGGTAGTATATCATATCCTCTTTGGGAATCAAAAGTCGCCCGTCTTGCTTGTCACCGGCAACTAGAGTTATTGCCCCTTAATTGAAGCATGGGGAAAAAGCCACGTGGTGCTTTCGAAACACAGTCTAAATCAGTGAAAAAAGGTGAAAAGTATTTTCCTGAGCTCGGCTATGAAAGCCGTGTAAAAAAATCGGTTAGGTCGAATCGCCTGCAATTGCTACGACAATGTCACGTATAAGGGTTATACAGCAAGAAATAGCAATGTATCCCGTTTGGAGGGTGGAGAAAGAGGCTAATTGTGGTTGCCAATCATTTTGGTGTTCACATCTCGACTATCCACAGACTCATAATCCATTTTCAAGTCATAAATTCTACGTGGGGCCGAAAAAGACAAGGTCAACCCAGAGTGACCGATGCACGTGCATACAAATATGTTGTCCGGACGTATCGTTCAAATCGACTTCAGACAGCTACAAAAACTTCATATTTCATAAGGGGCACCCACAGAAGAGCCATAAGTCGACACACAGTAAACCGACGATTACGTCAGAAAGGCCTTAGACGTCCTCGACCCTACCATGGTCCAGTCTTGACCGCACACCATCGCCAAGAGCATTTCAACTGGGCCCAGCACCATGTCAACAGTCGTCTGAGAGACCGGTCTTTGGTTCTCATTTTCGAACGAATGCCTGTTCTCCATAGATACAATAAACCGGGACCTCAGAGTTTATCAAAAGGAAGTCGAACCTTATTGCGACAATTCTATCTTAGAAAGGAATCGCTGGGAAGGGCATTGCGTCATGATCTGGGGTGGAATCATGTGGAACCACAAAAAAGGACCAATGACCCTCCAAAATCAAGGCCAAGGTCGAGGTCAAGGTATCCATGCTGCCCGTTGCATTGCAGAAGTTCAAAGGCCCCTCTAAATAGTCAAAATTTTAACTTCCGTTTCCAGCCAGATAATGCTTGTGCACACACTCCCCGTGTTACTCAGGATTTCTTCCAACACCATGGCATCCCTCTGCAGCCTCACCATGCCCCTAGCATGAATTAAAACCAAATTAAGTGTTTTTGGACGAAATTAAAGAAGCACCGAGCGGAGACAAAAGGCCGAGAACCACGCAGGAACTGGATGTGGCCATCCAAGAGATATGGAGGCAGATCCCGCTACACTTTACTAACAACCTAGTGACTTCCTTGTATTGGAGATCTACTACAGTTATCTCATCTAATTGTTGCCAAAACCACTACTGGGCATTTTGAAGTTGAAAATATATTCCGCGAAAACTTCCGTGAAATATTCAGAGTGATGCCCTACGTATCCTTTCATTATGCAAGAAAACAATTTGGG